ATGAGGGAGATAGAATTATAGGGTGGCACACACAACATCTAAATTATATCAAGGGGAAAATATAACCTAGAACTTGTTTAAAGCCAATCTTTAAGATCACGTGCGTGATTGACCATCATGCGGAGCCCATTTAGACTCTAACAGCCTTGCTGGGACATTGTAAATAAACCTAGGTCACGTGTTCGTGTTGGCTAGTTGCTGGCTCACGCCATGTGCTTGCGCTACCGGTGATTTCGCCCTCGGGGTCTGGTGCTTGGTGTGCAGTGAATGTGCTGACGTTCAGAGTGGCGCACGCTCTCGCATGGGGTGCCGACATGGTTCTTCGTAGTCATTTGGCCAGCTGGGATTACCTCCTACCTAACTCTTACCTAGCTCGGTGCTCTTTGAAACTGAAACTGGGTGCTCTAAAAGCTTGTCTACAACATCGTGCACTTGTGCAAACGAGGTTTGCAGCCGTGATTACAGGTTTGTAAGCTACCCTTTGCGACAAAAAACACAATTTTTCTGTCAGTGCTTATTTATTGTCGATAGATAAATTCCGGCGAACCGAGTGCAAAGCATCCAACTCTTCAGTGTGTATTTATTTAAAGGGAGGAAAAAGAAAGACCCAGCAAAAGTCACAGCAAAAGTTTTAACTGAGCTGCATCTTGCGTGCTGCGTGTGCTGCGTGAAGAGCGACCTTTCAGAGGATTTTCTTAACAGTCTTTGGGTAATTACTAGAAGCAGACCTGTAGGATACCCACTACGCCATAAATCAAAGTTTTTGTTTAGTAGAAAGACATTCTCTATGTTATGCTTTGTCATTGTTAGAAGAAGCGCACTACCCGTTACATGCAAATTACTTTGCGTAACATTTTATCATGTGGCTGATGACGATGAAGAATATAGCATAGCGCTATTGTAAGGGGTTGTACAATTTCAACAGCCAACTTGATATGAATTTTACACTGTGTGACGTCTGGCAGTTCCTTTGTTGTTCTATAGCGCGATATTACACACATTTATGCGACTTGTTTCCCCTACCTGAAGCCTGCCTAGGATCTGTTTGAAACAGAGATCGAAGTACCTGCATAACTCAGTGTTAGAGTACTTGGTTGGTGCACAGGAAACTTGGGTGTGAAACCCATTGTATCTTTGGATGTTTTTTATTCACCTAGTTGTTCTTATTTTGGCGTGATAGTCGATGGCGGTGTGGTAGCAGAAAACATGGCGTACGCCAACCTTGCTTGTGATTTCCTTTCGCTGTAATAAAAGCCTTGCTGTAGAAGCTATTCTGGCCAAGCCTATGGGGATAGCACAAGTCAACATTGTAGCATTTGAGTTATTTTGTGAATACACCATGGGGAAGTATGTGCTCTCCACCGCAGAATTCTGCAGTGACAATTCCAAAAAGCCAAAGTTCTAAGAGCATTTACTTGTATGCACACTTTTTAGTACTTTACTGGGTTGCCTCAGGGTTATGTTATCAGTTGTTACAAGTAGTCGTAACATTTAAATATTCCCCCCTTGTGATAACATATGTAATTTCACACGAAGATTCTTGATGGTTCAGTAAAAACAGTAAATGGATGCGCATTCAACAGGAGCATTCATAAGCAGCACAGATGCGCATTCTACACTGAGGTTCCTCCACAGCCATCAGTAATTGTAGTTTCTGACCATGCGGGAGTACATGCTCGGGATTTTAGGAGTACGTCAGACAAATTGATCAGATTATTCTTTAATTTTACTACATATGCTATTGTTCTTTTGTTGGTTCTCTTCCCGGTTTCAGAGAAACAGCAGGAAAAGTGTATTTATAATTTTTAATTTAGAGTTAGCCAGTGTACTTCGTAATTTCATTGTTAGGCTTAATCACAAATATACACCCTTTGAAATCCTTTTATGTAGTTTATAAGGAATGTGTGCTCGTCGAAAATTATGCAGTGCAGTCCAACCTGGATATATCATTGATTGATTGATTGATTGATTGATTGATATGTAGGTTTAACGTCCCCAAATCACCATATGATTACGCGAGACGTCGTAGAGGGCTTCGGAAATTTTGACCACCTGGTGTTCTTTAACGTGCACCCGAATCTGAGCACAAGGGCCTACAACATTTCCGTCTCCATCAGAAACGCAGCCACCGCAGACGGGACTCAATGCCGCGACCTTTGGGTCAGCAGCCGAGTACATTAGCGACTAGACCACCGTAGTGGGGTAACCTGGATATATGAAACTTGCTAAAAAATAAAAATAAGTTTAATATATCATATATTTGCATCAGGCTTTTTAATTAAAACAGTATTTTTGGTGCAAAGTTCTGTGTGCCTGTTGACTTTGCGGTACTGCTTCTTGGGATGCTGTAGCGCTGAGCCGACGCCAGTCTCGTTCCTCTATGTATAACTGTTTTGATTAGTGTAAGGTTTGCCTACAGCAGGTTCTTAAATTATGGCAGCCATTTTGTGACAAGGGGAGTAGAGGAGCGAACGTCAACCTTGCGCAATGGCCTGTAAGACAAGGATATGGGAGGAAGCATGCAGTGGCTACAACGTTGTTTCCTGCTTGCTCTGCGACACCCTTATAATAACACTGTCTCTGAAATGCACTGTGAGGAAGTCCTTTATGTGAAGAAACGTGAACTCTTTTGTGGTAAAGCCAACATCTTAGGACGTATCACAGTGCCTCATGTTGGATATATCTTGGTTTTTGGTTTTGTTTCTTCGATGTCGTAGCCATAAAACTATCTATGAAACCATTCTGAAGCATTGTCATGTTACAAATAGTTTGATATGTAATCTGGTTGAACTGTACCTTATTTGCGAGTTTTGATTGTTCGGAGGGATCCAGGAAGGTTGGCCACTCACCCCTGGCCTTGTTGTTTTTCGGACGCGGGCACGAACATCGCTCTCTGTGGCGCAAGGCCATACAGGAGTCAGGTGCTGCTTACCCGCAGGGAGAAGGAGGAGAGGCAGCTTCAAGGTGCAATGTTTCTTTGTCTGCAGAGTAGCCTCTCATAAAGTGAGTGACTTCCAAGGAATGTACTAATTACTTATAGTAGAATTGCACAGCATTCAATTTAACAAGGTTTTGTAGTGAGTTTTGTAATTACTGGAAGTGTTAATATTTTCTCTTGAATGTGTGGGGACTGTTTTGTCAAAATGCAGAGTAATATGAGCAGCACGATAAGATTTAATAGCCTGCAGCTGTATATACCGATTCGTTCATTGTATTTCTAAGCACAAGTTAAAATGGTTCCTTTTCATGTCATAGACTGCTTTCCTGTTCACCTCTTAGTAAATGGAGCTCCTGTAAAGGCCACTGAACCAGGTTTGAAAATTTAAGCTGACAAGCGCAATGCGTAGAAGAGGCGTTCATGATCATGTCTGCCAAATCTCGCAACGCTACACGCCGTGGATATGGGTCAAATTTCAAGATGAACGTTGCTCTCCCTTCCTCCAGGCAGCGCGCGCCTAGAGAATGAGGGCATGACGTGGGCGTATGAATAGCCCTACGTACAGGCGATGTAGTGACGTTGGTCCTCTACGTCACACAGTTTCACAAAATTAACTAGAGGGCACTCTGGTGCTGCGATAGTTCAGCGACCATGGGAATGATGGGTAGTACACACATTTGCCTAGTCTTCGTCCTTGAGGATGGCGAATCATACTTGCGGCTTCGTTTATTGCTGTTTTTCGGTTTTGTTTCGAAAGAAAGATTCAACTATTTGAACTTCATCACCTGATTTGGAAAGGTACGTCTAAAAAAATAAAATGGTGAAGAACAACCGCTGATTATTTGCTAATATTTGTTTCGTGATAAAACAACTTCAAGCCACACAAACACACACGGAGCCAGAAGCAGGCCAGAAGTACGAATATTAGACAAATGTGTGTACTACCCATCATTCCAATGCTCACAGAAGCACCGTGTGTTGCAGCTCCCATAGACACTATCGCCAGAGTTCCCTCTAGTGTATATTGAGAAACTCTATGCTCTACGTAGACGGCTCTGCTCTGACATTGCAAACAGTGGCACGTAACATGGTAAAAATTATTTAACACGGAATGCGTAGTTTATGTAATTTATTGCTTGAAGAGTATAATAAAGCTCTAGATAAATATTGAAACGCAATAAGTGACTGTGAGCGTTCCTTTTTTCTCATTTTTCCCCCGTGAATTGCAGTGAGATGGGGGGCTAATGTGCTGGCGTTTCGCATGCGTTCGTGTCCCAGTGGTTCCGCGGTCAGCGCATCGAGTTGACAGCTGTGTAATGCTCCTACGCGTTCGCGCACTGATTGTGCTCATCTATTCTACCACGACTAAGCCAGCGTTTGTAAAGAATCCTGCAGAAACAGGCACAAGGCCACAAAATAACGCTGGTTAACAAAGCAACGCAGCTCGTGTGCTCGGGGGTTGGACTTGTTTGGGCACGTCATGCGCAAGTGACCTCTTGTCCTATGCCTGAGGAAGTGGGGAAGATATTAGGCTTGCGAAGGCTACATGGAGGAGCGGCAAGGGTTTCGAGCTCGCTTCCTGTCATCCTCGTTTCGCGCCGCTTGAGAAAACCCGTGTTCTCCACTCGTGACGAAACGATTGAAAAATTTCTGTGGCAAAATGTTCCTCATCGGACACCCAACAACTTCCTTTGTCTAACTAAAGTTTTGAATGGGGCCTGGTGAGTGGCCCTTTAAACAGAACATATTTTCCTGGTCCCTTCTTCAGGTTGTGATTAAAAGGAGTGCATTGTATTTAAAATTTTAACTCCCACACTTAGCAGTGTTTGCTTTCTGAATTTCACTTCTAATTGACACTACTATTCTCGAATCCAATAGAGATGTTTCTGTTTCAGAATTCACCATACTGTTATCTTCACTTGTACACCCTATTGAGCGGTGGTTGCATCTTCTTACCGAAAATTTGCAAGCGCACCATGAGATATGCCGGCTAACATTTGTGCACCTGCTCACTGCAGTGTTTTGAGAAGTGGTTTGATTTCCAGAGAGCCAGGATGAATGGAGCAGCAAGCGTTTGCGACTCGACTATGGCGAGGTTGAGGACGGGCCTTGTAATGCCGAGACGGTCAAGGGCTGGGACAAGCTCCTGACGCAGCCACCGGGAGGCGTCATCAGCCCGGACATCATTCAGTCTGAGCAGGTGTGTGCCCATGTTTTCTGCGTTTTAATGCGATTACAAATATATGGGCATTTTCACAGGGATTTTACCATCGCGGCCATGTTGTGTGTGAGGTGCAAATTGTTCGCATTGCTCAAGCAGCAACTGCGAACCTTAATCACAAGGGCACAATTGTGAGAGCTAGTGTACATGCTGTCTTCGCAGTTGACATCACTTCTTAGCAGACATAAGCAGACAGCTCGTATACGTGCTTCGCTCCCATTGCTTATTTCATGTTCAGATCACAGACATCACAAAGAACAGTTCTACATTTTGCCTATACCGGGGTTTTGTCGAGTTGCACGGGATTGGATCCGGAAGAGTTAGCTGCTAGCCTTACGTCATATAATACTACACTCCTACCTACCAACAATCCTACCTACTACCTACCTACTACCTACCTCTCTACCAACCTCTCCGTTTCCCACCTACCTACCTACCTACCTACCTACCTACCTACCTACCTACCTACCTACCTACCTACCTACCTACCTACCTACCTACCTACCTACCTACCCACCCACCCACCCACCCACCCATCCACCCACCCACCCACCCACCCACCCACCCACCTACCCACCTACCTACCTACCTACCTACCTACCTACCTACCTACCTACCTACCTACCTACCTACCTACCTACCTACCTACCTACCTACCTACAACTCCTAGCTCTCCTGGTCATTTCGATGAGATCTATACCAAATTGATATGAAATGCCATGACTGTATGACGAGTACAAGTGACTTGTTATAACATGTAAATAATGATGTCTATGTCATTATTTACATGTCATAGTATTGCTGCTCTTGCGGTGGTTTCTATCACATGGCATATTGAAAAAGCTGGTATGGTAACACATGACTGCATGATGAATATAAGTGGCAGGCCCTGACCATGCATTCACGTCACGCTCATCGTGCGCTCGCGGCCTTTTCGCTAGCTCCATTTATACCAAATCTAGTATTATGTGACGTGAATGGAAGACAAACTTAAATACATGTCCAAACATGATCATCTTAACAGGCGTGTCATGTAAAACATGTCTACCTGCTACGCTCATAGTGTGATCGCGGCCGTATTTCTACCCTCACATATACCAAATTTGGTAATGTCTGACGTGTATACACGACGAAGGTCAATGAAATGTCTTAACATAATAATCAAGACATGCGCGTCATGTAAAACATGATTACATGCTAGGCTCATAACTCGTTATGGTTACATTACCAAAGATGCAATGAGTCGTTACATTAGCGTTACATTTGACTTTAAAAAAATATACATTGGCGTATAATGCTGAGGTGAAATAGTGTGATCAATTTAAAGTTTACATGAAGTTACATATATCATAAGGATTTTATATTTAAAAATTCAGGTTATGCATAGGGAAGAGAAATATAAATAAATGTAAATAAACAAATTTTCGTAGACCACTGTTCAAATTACAGACAAGTCCAATTGTAAATTTCGTGCCATATAATTGAAAGTGCGACACAAGTGGCGCTTCTAAGGCTGGCCTTGTTTAATGTCTTTAAGCACACCTTTTCTCTGCAGAACGGAGTACATGCGGGTTCTCGCTTCTTAATAGCATCCTTCTTAGTCGATGTTTTTGCATCGACTATCAATTCTCTGGGCCACGGGACTGAAACTTGTGCTGTACATAACTGCAGGCCATCCAAGACTACTTTGCCAACCGAAAGACAGTGGCTAGATCTGCAATGCTTCGTCGTCAAGTGATCCAAGGCAGCCAGGATATTGGTGGGATCCATTGTGTCGGTGTTATTGCCCTGCTGTAGCTCGGTGCCTCCTGCACTACTCAGCGCATCGCCTGAAGTCAATTGAAAGTTGAAATGAAGCGACAATATATAATCCAGATTTTATATTTATGAAAGTAGGGTATACATAGGTAAAAAAATAAGAATAAATATGAATAAACAAATTTTCGTGGACCACTGTTCATACTACGGACAAGTCTAACTGTAAATTTCATGCCCATTAATTTGAAGTCCAACACCTGTGGCGCTGTGTACGCCCGTCCTCTAACGTGTAGTTATGATACTATGCTTCAGATATTTAAAGAGAATGTAAATCTTTAAACGCCTAGAGTTACCCACCCACGGTCAGTCTAAGCGTCCTTGGCTTCCCTGCACCTGCGGCGGGCTCCTTGAAGTGACGTCCCTTCGTGACGAGGTGGTGACCAACACTGCAATAAGCTGAAGAGTTCAATATTTTGTTGTTTTTTTCTTCTTTTTCTTCTTCTCATCAATAATACTAATTTACTAATACAATACTTTTACTATCATCGTTGTTTTCTTACGGCATAGTATTGTCGGGACGAATTAACATTCATACTCTATAAAATAGGCTTGAAAATTGACAACCCAGTTTTCTTTGCCTCAGCGCATGTTAACTTTAGCGTAACTCTTTTCTTGCTACCTGCCTGCTTTTTCGCAATAAATCCCGCACTCGTAATTTATGTACATCCATCACCGACCTTTCTACCTTTACAATGCTGTCGCCATAACTCAAAGGTTTATGTAGGCTAGTGGGGAAACATGCACCCAGTTGGATGTCTGAGCATTCAGCTAAACATGTTCAGCCAAGTCCTCACCATCACGGCGCATGTGCATTTCTAATCTTCACTGAATATCGCTTTATAACTATTCAACTAAAACAACCAGCAGTCGCTTCAAACAGCAGAGCGCATTCTGTTGAGTGATTGGGAAGAGTTGCCTTGCTTATTTCGTCTTTACCCGTTTTGTGGTTACACATACCCGTTTTCTTCACATCAGTGCTATTATTACATCTTTACGGCCATCTTGACATTTTGATAATTGGTCTTTGTTAACATATCACTTACAGTGCCTGCAATATGCTTGGAGACGAGTGCCCTAGTTTTTTTTAAAGTGCGAGTGAATCCTTTCCTCTGCAATTATCGAAAGGCCGTGTGTTTTTGTCGTCTGCCTTTCGTGTTTTTGCTTACTCTTCAAAATATTTTTCGACCGAACTTTCAAAAGAGCTACCGACTTCAGCGCCAGAACACGTGCGTATGGTTCAGTGTATGAAATGTAGTCTGCATGTTTTTATTGTCTACTGCACCTATTATAGGCGTAGGGTAAAATGCATGGTAGTAAAGTTTGTGTCGGATAAGGAGGAGGAATAAATGAGGAAGGACAGGGAGGTTAGCGAGGTGTCGGATAAGGGATGGTAATTTGGGCTGTGACGTGGTATAATTTCCAAAGATTGGTTGGCAACACTGCACTCCTGTGGAGGTAGGGTTCAACCATACATAATATATGCTCGTGCGTGACACACATGCGAAACTCGAAAGGAATCTAGAGCTGCTACGCGCAACTGGTGCCTAGGCTGCAGAAAAAGCAGAAATCGCAGCCTTTTCTTCCTCGATTCTTTGCTCCTCGACCTGACACCACCATTTCCGTCTTCCCTATCCCGCTCCCTTGCTGCTTTGTAGTGTACGTGGTATTTGTTAGCTTAACTCTCTTTATTCCTCAGTTCCCTCATCCTGACCTTCACTTCTCTTTACATCGTCCTTACTATATTATCCCGCTTGCTTCTTTCTCTATATCTATCTCTTTCTTTGATTTTCTTTATTGCTCCTTGTTTCGATTTTGTCATTCTTTCGCTCATAGTAACGCAATCGCATGCTTCCCATAAAGGCTTGTTTGGCTAGCAGTCCTCGATTGCCGCGTGGTTACGACCTTCGGAGCTCTCCACTTTTGTTTCCTCCTCTCCTGTCTTCATTCCTTTCTTCCTTAGGCACGCTGCTAGCCTGCGAACTCACTGAAGTTGTTGGCGCCGCCCTGCCATGTGCTTGCCAGGCAAGCAATGAGGTTCAATATAGTAGTTTCTGCGCGCTATCTAGTGCCAGCGACTGCTGTCGTGCAGGTCATGGGATCGAATCCAGCTGCAGTGGCTACATTTTTCATGGAGGCGAAATTGCTCCAGGTCTGTGTACTTGGTTGAGGCGCAACTCGGATAGTCAGAAGTTCCGAAGCCCTCCACTACAGCGTCTCTCAAATTCATATGGTTTTGGGGCGTTACACACAAGATATTATTATAAAACCAGCGCCCAACATCCAACCTAAACAGCTCGGTGTAAATTTCATGGGTAGTGGTCTGAATATGTTTCCTGCCAAGCCCATCATCCTGGCTAGGCCAGTGTCAAGTAGATGCACAATATTCTCAATCGCTTCAACGTGAACGTCGGCTCTTCGTGCCTAAAGTCTACAAGCTTAGAAAAAGTGTTGTCTCTCCATTTCTCAATTTCTCATTGTCACCCTCTGTTCTCTTTCCAAACTCAATGCTTTATTATCTTGTTTCTTTTTCTCTCTCTGTGTTTATTTGCATCTCTTTTGTTCTCTGAATATTTGCTTCTTGCTCGTTGATTTGTTTTTTCTCGTTTTCTCGCTTATAACAATGCAATCGTATATTTGCAAAAAAGGCTTGTTTGGCTAGCATGCCTGGATTGCCGCGCAATTACGATGGTTGCCTCCGGGGGTGCTATGCACGAGGAGCCGAGCTTCTAGGGCAGACGAGCTTTCTCCTAGCTTGTTCTACGGCTGGCATAGCATGATGACAGGGCAGAGCGCGTGATAGCAACGTTCATCAATATGAATGCACAAACGCGCCAGGCGTTGCAGACAGATGTAGGAGATTCGAGGCTGTTATCAAAGAAACAGCGTGTGGGAGCACGTCATCACAGCCATTCAGTCAACATTTCTACACTGCAGGGACGTCAGCGTGATTGTCAGGCTATCTTTTCGTCAACTCAACATGCGCCTGCCACAGACGTGCTCGTGGGTGTTTGCCCCTTTTTTGCGCAGTTTTTTTCGTACAACCTGCAGCATGAAAATTTCCACTCTCGAAGGCAGCAAGGGTGCACACGCAGTACTCTCGCACTGCTCTTGTCGCTGCTATCAAATATGGAAGGTAAATATAGCGACAGATGATCACCAGGGGCGCTCGCATCATGGCGTCAAGGCGGCTGTGAGTGAATACGTCGTGAGTGCGGTGAAATTGAATGTGCGACATCGTAGCCAGGTTATGGTATCGCTCTTATTTCGGCGTATCTGTGTGCATAGTCTGCGCGATAGAGCTCATAGATTTATCGTGTCGCTCCACGTGAGTACTGCTCCTCAGCAAGAGAAAGTGTGGTGGGCGTAGTAGGTCTTCGCCGCAGGCGTCTGTCAATCAGGCTGATTGACGCTTCAGGTCTTATAAAAATTCACCGATTCTGAGAAGGCCAAAGTTCTACTCGTGAGTGTCATGGTGCCATTATGACTGTTAAGCTTTTGAGACGGTGAGCGCTAAGCGGCAGCTTCTTTGCATATAAATAACTTGGCCAGGTCGCACTACATGTGCATGGCTGGAGGCATAGAGGAGCTTGTGATAACCTAGCATCTTCCATCTTATTCGCTTGGTCGTCCACTCATCCGCTTGGTCTGCTTCGAAGTTATGACAGCATCAGCTCCATCTTAATTTTTGTTATACTATTTGCTAAGGTTTATTCACCATTACACTGAAATGTTTTGTCTTCATTATTAGGGTTTCAAATAAAAGGTAAATATCGCGGGCACAATTGGCAAGCCTTCATCCGTATGAAGCTATAAACGTAATCAATATTAGCAAGAACATAACAATGATCATATTAGTAAAGGCTAATTACCTTGTTTTACGTACCATGCTCACAATTACTGTCGCGTTAATTAGTATCGCTCAGTTAGCTACTCAACTGACATGCTTTGGTTAGCCCGGTCCAACTTGCATTGCTTCATTAGCAATGTAAGCACGTCCTGAGCTTGCTAGTTAGGTATAGTGTCCGGGCAAATAGCAAATTAGCCGGGCGCACGTGCTCGGGTGCTCGCAGACAATGAAGACTACGAACAGGGCGCACGCAGTCCTAGCAGCGCGCTAGAATGTACAAGCCGGCCATGGAGATTAACTCGTGGCTGTGGGTGTAGCTGCGGCGGTGATGATGTAAGACACTCGGCCGGAACCAATCTCCGAGGCCACCGCGCCGATCGTTCAAAACCAACCTATTGCAGGCAATGAAAGCTTTAAAATAAATCCAAACGCCCCATGCTTCTAAAAATATCATCACAAAAGCTTTCTGGCTCTTCCATTACACTGGTGCACTTCGGCACTCAGTGTAACGAAGCAAATAAAAGAAAAGGCTTCTGGTTCAAAAACACGCCTAACTTTCTGGACCGATCTTGACATAACTCCGGGTTCCATCGTAACCAATTAAATGCAGTGCTCGGAGGGATTTCACTTTTTCGTACTGTTTGCTCATTCAAAAGATGTGTCATCGGAACTCGGAAATATCCCGAGCTCATCCGAAGTTTTGCCTAGATTTTCGGCGGTCCTGCATATCCACCCGCATCTCTCCACTTTTCTTCTCTCGCCTTCTCTCTTCATTTCTTACTTCCTACGACGCGTTGCTACCTGACGAACTCGGTGAAATTAAAGGCGCAGCCCTGTCAAGTGATTTCTAAGCAACGCTCAGTGACGTCATATCTAGGAGCAGATTTTGAGAACAATACAGTGCCCTCGACAGCTTTTCCGCAGGTCGCGTGATCGAATCCCGGCTGCAGCTGCCGTATTTCTATGAATGAGAATGCTTGATGCCCGTTAAATTAGATTTTGATGGAACCCAGATTGTCCAGAGTTTCAGATCCCTCCACTACAGCGTCTCTCATAATCATAATGTAGTTTTGGGGCGTTAGACCCCAGATTATTTTAATATTCCAGCGCCCAAACTCTAGGTTAAACAGCTGAGTATATATTTTAGGGGAGTGTGTTTGGATATCCTGTCTTCCAAGCCCCGCATTCTGGCTAGGCTAGTGTCTAGAAGATACCCAAATATCTAAATTGCTTCCAAAAAAACTTTGACTAGACATGCCTAGTTTCGAATCTCTGGTAAACGTTGTCGTTCTGAAGCGGCATTTTCTTCTTTTGGTAAAAAAGGGTATCAGGCGTAAATTTTAAGCTGCATTGGAAAGGCCAAGCCAGAGCTGTGGGACGTCATTAATCTTGCTCACATGTCCGGAATCCTTTCAAGATATCCCAGCACGTGCTGTTTATTATTCATTGCTCAATTTACCTGACTGTCTGTGCATTGAAAAAGAAAGTGCATATTGAGCCACTAACTACGCTGAGCAAACCGAGTAAGCTGGTCGTCTTTTTGTTTTCAATGTTTTTACTGAAGCTACAAGTGCCCGTTTTGTGAGTGGTGAACTTTCGGAATATGATACTTCATCTAGACCTCATCTAATGCAAAGAGCTCTAGAGTATTATGCCAGCACATAGATAACTAGGTGTTGTCCACTGATCCTAATGATATGTTAGTGGAACTCACTGGCCATACCCACTATAATATACATTCTTGCCAATTGGCAATAAACATGTAAAGAAGGCGCGCTTCGTAACTACCGTATTTGGTTTATCTGATGTTGCAGTCAGCTTCTTATGTTTCCATTTTAGTTCGGCATTAAGGCGTTTGTTTTCAATTCGATTGTGCTGTTGGCGTCAAAGTTTAGACATAACGAGGTCTTAGAAAACTTCTGCCAATGATTCCATCCTCCATTCGTTCGAACTGGGCAGTACATATTTTTGCGTGTTTTTGGACAGCAAAGCCGTTGAAGCCAGCCGTAAAGTGTCGACACTGCCACTGTCGTCATCCTAGACTGTTATGTGGTACAAGGTTTGGGCAAGTCCCGCTACTCACAGCTACGACGTGGCCAGCGATGACCCTGATATGTGATAGTACTACGAAGAAAGAGAAAAACGAAGAAGAATAGGAAGAAAAATTGAAGTTTTTGCTGGAAAAAACTCTTCAGAAGTTGTTACTCGAACCCGCGTATTGTCCACCCGAAGGCGAGCGTGCTAACGTCTCCGCTATCCAAGGTCGTTAGCAGAACAACTAATAGCCTTGTGTAGTGGAGTACAGCAAGGGGATCGGACAGGGAAATTAGCGTGAAGAGGATAGAAAGGAGGGGAGAAGAGAAAGTAAAGCTGAAATATGTACAGGCAGAAAAAATGCATAAAAATGTCATAGTTTTGCCAGAAAGGCGTACCAATGAATGCGATTGCAACAAATTATAACGTCGCTGAGAACGGCTAGCAGATCAAAACGTGCAGCGCACTGCTCACGCTCAAATGAGGCACGAAAACAACACACGCAGGACGGAGTCGAACTAACAACGTTTACAGGTTGACGCTAATTGCACTGTTTAAAGAAAAACGATGCACGAAGCGTAATCACAGGTACAGATATAAGAGCGAACAAACGAGTGTCCCAGTTGTTACTTCGCTGTGTTTGAAAATCACACCATTTCCGCAAACGGGGCCTGCCCAGTGAGCGAGGTCACCTTTGTGGCCCAGGCAACTAACTCAATCGTATTGGTGAAGAAGTAGGCACACGATTATCCCCACCGCAGAATAAGCGCACCACACAAGCACCTAACCCCACCGCTGCCTTCCACGGGGCAAAGTACGCGTGGGAGACAAGCGCGTGTTGGTGCATCGCGAATAGCTGGCATCTGAGTTCTGGCGGATTGTTTTCTTTCTTGAGTTTTCATATATATTAATATGTATACATACATGGTGTGGGACAGCGGCTTCGCAATAAAAAGAGCGAGCCAGAGGAAGGAGAACAAGCCACGGGCACCGACAGAAACATCGCGCGCAAAATCCGCTCCCGATCGTGTTCAGAAAGTTAGGGGGTGTCCTAAGAAAGTGCGCACTCAAGAGAAGGAAGCTTCTCAACTCAAAGATGTGTTGGTCGGCGGGGAGTACGGAAGGTTAAGCACCCTTGCGTAGCTCTGACCGGCTTCGCACGGCGGTAATAATAATAATAATATAATAATATAATAATAATAATATAATAATAATAATAATAATAATATAATAATAATAATAATAATAATAATAATAATAATATCTGTCTAATTCAAGGCTGCAAGCCGATGTACCTGGAATATTCAGCTTTATTTCGTGTCTCATGGTCCATACACTTTTGACGCTTACTGTACATATTTCTTGTGCTTACAGAGTTATCGCGAGGCCAGCCGATTTACTCAATGAGGACGGTCTCCCTGGAGTAGCGGAGCTGCTACTGTTCATCCTGGGGCCTCCGCTGTCAACTCTGGCAATTCCTATTGAGCTTAGCTGCTGGCGGCAAAGTGTCTGCTCCTGCCATGGCCTTCGACATGCCCACAAACTTGTACAGCCGACAGCCTCCATTGGCTCGGTCGGCGGAAGCGGCTTTCACCGCCAGCTACGTGACCTTGGTAGCAGCCTTGCCAGTGTCGGGGAGTGCGATGGAACTATGCGCACGCAGCAGTTTCTGCAGCTGTGCGTAGGACGATGCGGAGCTGAAATGGTTCCCCCTCTCAATTCGAGTGACAGTGCTTGCCTTTATTATTTTTTATTGCGATAGCAATTATATGAACACTCTGGGATCAATTTTGCCACCGGCGTCGGCGTCAATGTCATGCACCGTATATGTATACGTATCTACATTTGTAAAAACGCAAGACAGCAAAAAATCCAGAAAAAAAAAATCACCCCGGCACGCGGAATTGAGTGTGGGACCTCTGCGTCATGAAAGCAATGTGTCACCCACGAGAACGTTCTTTAGCGTTCAAACGGCAAGCTATATATATCTATCACTTACCGCTGCTGTGTTTTCGGCATTACCAGAAAGATGGCGAGATTAGCGCACTTCGCTGCACACGTAGCGGCGCCCGCTCTAAATCTCCTACACGTAGTTTGCCCGGCTTAGAGAAGGGGAGCTATGCTACTCGTGCGCCTTTATCTCGCGTTGGCGAGGAGGGGAGGATCGTGCGCCTTGGCTGGCCTCGGGCTTTACGTGAAACAATTTTTGCTTTAGTTACCGGACGCACAAAGGTAACTGCAATCATTGCAGTTTCCGTTCATGAAAAGCGCGCGCTTTTCAGACTTAGCGAAGTGACAATTGAGATGCTTATTCGCGTGCGTCTGTGCCTGTGAGTACGTTACGTGCGTAATTTGTGCGCGAGAAACGCGGGGCACGTTTCGATCTGCTTTCCATTCTGCGCAAGACCTTTCAAATAGTTGCTATCGCGTTTATTGCTTCGCCTTCGTGGCAAAGCTGTGACATTTTTTGTTATCTTAGCGTATTTATGTAAATTTTCTACTTCTTTTTTGTTTATTGTTACAAATATAATGCGTTTGAAGCGAGGTGTCTTGCCGACTGAGATACATCGAAACGGTGAGATTAGCCTCGTACTGGAATTTCCTTTTCACTTTGACAGTGAAGCTCTCTAGTGCTAGGTTCGAGGAGTGCGCATATAGGCAAGAATGGCAACAACACTGACAGAACCACCGACAGAATCACATGCGTGTGTTCCTGCAGGCGCCTTGAACATGTCCGTTTTCGTTTTATTTTCTGCAGCTTCACGCACGTGTCTATCATTAGATTTGCTCAGTAACCGCGTATTTCTTTTTATCAAGTGTACTCGCCAACTTAAGCTACTTTTGATAAGGTAGACAGTGGGAAGCCAACGGAGAGGCCAAGCACCTCTGCAGACCGGCACGTGCAGAGCGGCTCTGATTTGGTCCGCCAGCATACGCTACCACCACGCAACGCTTTGTTTTAACACGAGTTTGCCTTGGAGAACTGTAGGAGTGGCGCGAATGCTTCGTTCCAGTGCGAGTTTGTCTGCAGTTCAGATATCCGAGTCTTGTCTGTGATCGTGCTTGGTATATGTCTAAGCTTTTTGTGCTCACAATCAACCATAAAAATATGCAGCAAAACCTGACTAGCTACAGCGATCTCGAAGCAACTTAGGGACAACCCTGAAGACATGGGTAAGTCCTACAAAAAACCCAGAAGCAACCAGATCAGTCTTCAGAATCATCAAATTTCACTGTTTGCATGTTTGCGTGGTTTAGGGCTGTGTGCAAGCTTGGCTAATTATTTAGGTTTCTTTCACCACCGGAATTTTCGGTAACACCTCGGCTGTTGACCAAAAGCTTGCGGGTTGGATCCTTGCCACAGTAGTCGTTTTTCTATGAAGGTGAAATGTCGTTCACGTGTGCGATGTCAGTACTCATCAAAAACAACACAAGGTGTGTCATATGGTAGTTCTTGGACGCAAAACATCACCTTAAAACAACAACTTGGGTAGTTAAACCTCATGCTGTGTTTCTAGGTGCCTCAATGCATACGATTGGAATAAGGTGCGATGTAGCCGCAGCAAAACATATTGGCTGACTGTCAGATGACAACCACCGATTCGCTCTCTCAGGTGCCATCTATGCCACTTGACTCGGCATACTTGAAGCCTGGTACAATGATGGCACAAAGTTTGTTTTCCTTGCAACATTTGCAGTGATGTGATGTCGGCCTCGAAACGACAGAATTCTAGTCGCGCTTGGAGCCATGCAGATAGCAACTACTGCATAAATTTACTCTCTTACGAGCACTGCCTACGTGTAGAAGGCAATTTTTACAGCTTCTTTTCTTTTCTTGTTTAATAACAGCGAATATGCTTCAGCTAGAACTGATAATTGCGGAATACGAAAAGCAGGTACATGGCTTTGAGACCTACCATAAAACTGTCTCTTCATAAACTTGTAAATGCCATAGAAATTGCGTAAATTCCACTTTGAAAAAATATCTGCGAAGCGACGCCGGTGAGCCGAAAGGCCACTACTCGCCACTGGTCACTGAAGTGAAACGCTTCCGCTAACGACGGCGCACACCCAGAGTGCAGAGGTGCGAACACATGGTTTCAGCGTGGGTTTCTGTGTGTAGAGCTTGGATGTCCACTTCGTGTCTGTGACCGTCTGTACTCAGACTCGAACTTCTTTGCGCTGAGAATAAACACTCAATCAAACAACCTGATATCAGCTGGCTACAACCTAGAAGCAAACAAGAAACAACCTGTATCACACAGCAAAGACCTAGAAGCAACCTAAACGCGGCTTCAGAACTGCCCAGTTCCACCGTTTCAAGGCTGGGTACACTTTGTGACGGCCTCTACACTTTCTAAATTCCCCACATACAAAAAAGTGCGCTTGCAGTTAAACATAGTTATTTACAAGCACAGTTGAAGAGTACTTGATTATATCGAAGCACTTCACTTTATCAATGAGCACGTTCGTGTGGGAAGCGTCTTGCACGTTGTTTCAATGTGTGGGACGCACGCTCGTTTGTCTGGCTATGCTGTAGTGCGAAGTGGCCTTTCCTGGCACTAACCTACCTATCAGAGAGCGGTGAAGTGTTTATTGCGAGATTTGGACGCCGAAGATATCTTGCCATTGGGTATCTATTACAATAATTACATATGGTATCTGAGACTAGAACTTTTCGTCAAAACTATTTTTGGTTACTCCAAAGGTACACCTGTGCGCCGTTACCAAAATTGTCGGCCTAGGCGCGCCGGTGTTCTCAACTCCGACGGCAGCGTGTAACCGGCACCGGCGTGGGGCTCATTGGATCAGCAGCGGTGCGGTGTGGAAGGCGGGGGGGGGGGGGGGGGGTGTTCTACTTCAGAGTGAGGAGAAGAGTGCAAAGAGTCGTTCGAATAGGGAAAAATGGAGAAAAATTTACCATTACTATGGAAATATGGACTGTCTCCTTAAGCAAAGCTCTGTATTGCAAGATTTCGCTTCGGGCCGGTAGTGTTTCATGGCTCCGGAGTATGACGGTGGAAGCCACCTTCGTTTTCCTGGGCTGTTCGTTGCCCTTTTTGGCAGAAATTTAATAAGAACCGGGAAAACCATCATCACCAGGATGAAAGTATCCGATGTAAAGAAGCGCCTCGCGAGCTTTCGCCTATCGGGAAGGGAGCCCGCGCTGCTGCTAAGCAACTGATGAAAGACTCATATAGATGCAGTAGAGAAAACAATGTCGTTTAAATGATACCATGATATGCGAAAGATAGCGCGTACCACGATAAATAAATACAAAACTCTCCGCACCTCCACACCACCTGTGATTTGAGAACAACCAATATGATTACCGAAATACGAAAACATTTACCGTTAATTACACACTTCCATGACAGTGATCATGTGAGGCGCAATGTGAATCTTGTGAAATAAACGCTGTAGTATTCAAACGAAACGTGTGTCTAACCTAAATAAGAAGCATGAACATGTGAAAAACGTGAAAAGCGAAAAGCTCCAGCGGAGTGTCGGGTTCAACACACTGCTGAACACCGGAACCACAGGTTTCAGATTTCGATGGGTAACTATATTTACGGAGTGCTTGGGCGGTAGTTTTCTCTTGCTCCTGTCGCCTACTGAAGCTCATGCAGATTCGTGGTACAATCTTGAGGAAAATCGGGCGCCGCGGTCGTTCAACTATATTGGGAAAGATGGGAAGTACTCAGTTAGGATCGAATAGCGTTAGTTAGCGAACTGCCTACGGGTGCTCTCAGCTTCAGTTTGGTTCTTAGCGCAGCAGCTTCACCTGGCATGCAGTGTTCATAGGCGTGCGTATAAATGGGTGTCGGAGAGTGGCCCAAAGAACAGTAGCTTCTTGAAAGTGGCGGGAGATGCTAGCTTTCCTGGTTTAGGCAACGTTGCATACTTATGGTTGGTATTTGATTGCTTTGGCAAAGTATCGTTCACGTACCGATTCCCATTATTATATAATGCAAAATTTACCAAGGGAACTGCACAGATTTCACTTTATTGTCAGCATAATTACGTCTTGCCTAGACGCACCCAGCGTGGCTGCAAAGCGACGACAAAGCTACGTGAACGCCCCTGAATGATCCGCTGAACCTCCCGGCCATAAAAAGACCTCTTTTTCTCTGAACGGAAGGGTATTTACAGCGAAGTGAGAGATCCGTTGTATACGAACCATTGCTTTCACGATCTTTCTGCGCATGAGCCTGATTTAATTGATTGATATGTGGGGTTTAACGTCCCAAAACCACTCTATGATTATGAGAGACGCCGTAGTGGAGGGCTCCGGAAATTTAGACTACCTGGGGTTCTTTAACGTGCACCCAAATCTGAGCACACGGGCCTACAACATTTTCACCTCCATCGGAAATGCACCGCCGGAGCCGGGATGTGAACCCCCGTTCCCTGCGGGTCAGCAGCCGAGTACCTTAGCCACTAGATCACCGCGGCGGGGCCTGCGCATGAGCCTGCCGTTGGTATAAAAAAATGTGTATTATTTACTGTTTTGCACACTATCCTTATTTCCATAAATTAATTTTGCATATACCGAGTTCAAAACGCATGTTTAATTTCTATGGTGCAGGTGGAACAAAAGAACCTGTACGAAAAAGGACATAAGCCCATGAACACTCCTTTGGGAGGCTCGTGTTCAGAGAGTGGTCCTTAGAATGTTCGCTGGATGGCGGCAGTGTATATGAAAATACATGATGAAAAAATATGTAAAATAGTGGTACTTGGATTGTTCACTAGATAGACGGACGTATGGATGGACATACCCGAGGGATCGGTCCCTA